ACACTTCTCAAAACACACTTCAGGCAGCATACCAACTGCCAACACAATTTCCCAAGAGCACTGTATTTACACTAGCCTCAGATCCCAAGTGCCAATAAGCTCCCAGTCTTGGTGTTCAAGGTTTTGCCCCTCACCGTTCCCCGCAGTTCTTCACAATGATTTCGGCTTCTTTGAATCCCCTCAACTCTCATCGTATCGAGAAAACCATCGGAACATTTTTCAAATGACAATCCTCCTGTCACCATGACTACCATTACTACCTCTCTGAGCTCCCATGGAGTCCCATATTCTATCCCCACTACAGCTGGCAGTAACGCAAGCTCTATCTTAGACACTTCCGTTCATCCGCTTAGCTTCAGCTCAGCCATCTTCTCTTTTGAACTCATGTCAAAGCACCTTTCGATGCCATCCGACGTCTGTTTGATCATCTTCGGGCCAATCCTGACAATGCTTCATCTCTCAATGCTTCATATCTCAAGCGGGGCATCTTCAAGACGGCTGCCATGAGCAATGCCACTTCTGATCAGAAGTTCACCATCGACCTGTCGCCCGCTCGCAATGGCCGCATTCCGGGGGGGTTGCGCGAGAAGCTGGCTGCGGATGGATTCAATGAGGTCGTAGACTACTTTGAAGAGGTCAATAGTACCTATGTCACTCAAATCATGTCTATTATGCATGATCTTACCGGCGCTGACCTCGGTCAAGTCCGCAAGACTGGTAATCTCAATTATGCTTGTGCGACTACAACATTGATACCGCAGACCCAGAGAGTGATAACGGATCCGGTGCTCATGCAGACTATGGCACCTTCACCATCATCTTCCAAGACGGGACATCAGGGCTCGAGATTGAAGATGCAGAGCATCCTGGGCTTTGGGCCCTAGTCCCTGGAGGTGCTACAGTTGTTCTCGCTGGTTAGTGCGTTGTTATTCTCAGTGGCGGCAACATCCGAGCAACCCGTCATCGAGTCAGAAGAACGCCGTGTGTCTAAAGTCTCAGCGCCGTTCTCTTTGTTGCACCAGATGTCGAGGCTACTCTACGACCTCTGGAAGTGTCAAGGTTGTCCGACCCTTCACAAAGAAGGTCATGGATGGGCGCCTGGATGTTGGGGAGTTCAAAGAGGTTATGGGTAAGAAGTGGAGGCGTCGCGAAGGCAATGAGAAGTCTGATGACGGAGATGACACGGAAACGCAGGACAGTGAGATTGAAAGGTTCATCTGGGCTTGACAGAACAAGTATGAGCTCCTTTGAACATGATTGGGCTGCGAGTATCACTGTAGACAATTGAACCGAGATCCTACTTCACGGCAAGGCCGAGATCGCCATGTTTATGCAGATAGCTAACGAAGATAACAAGGCAACAATCCCTTCATAGTACGGGCATGCACAATTGAAGTTGCATAAAACATATGTTGACCGTTTTATTGTCTTCTCAGTTGGGTAGTATCACTGCCAATCTTTAGCTCTGATAGGTTAGTCCCCGAGCTGTTCCTGGTTGTAGTCGACGTCGAACCGGCTTCTCCTCACCACCATCCTCACGTGTCAAACATCTGCCTCGGCATTCACTATTCAACTTCCTCAATCGGTATAAACAAATTCCCTCAAATCTGACAGATCAATTGTTCTAGGTATTACTCCGACAACTCATTGCAAAATTAAAATCTCTGCTAAAATGGCCTCCCAAGAATGGTAATTATGTCGTCGCGGTCTATTCACTCATTACTCGTCCCTCATTTCCCAATTAACCTCGTAGTTTGCTGTACTTGCTTATAGCCCTTGCAAAACTGTCGTCGATTCCTTGTACCAGTGCTTTTGCGTTTCCCTGCAGGTCTTTGGGCACCTTTGCTATGACTGCTTCGGAAAAGTCCTGGCTCAAGGCGCGCTGTAGATTGAGGTTGAGGAGGATCACAGGGCTGACCTGTAGTCTGTCAAAGTTGGGTTTGGTGGCAATGATGGTGTTGATGCAGAGCTCGACGTCGGCGCTGAGCTCAGATGTAGCCTTTGCGACTTGGAGGGTTTCCTCGAGAGATAGAGGCTCAGACTCGCGAGCGATCACAAAGCCCTTGTGGATCTCGGTGAGGAGCAGTGTTGACTTTGTAGTAATTGGCAGAGCACCGAGGAGGGTCTGCGGCCAGTTTGCTACGGTCTTGTTGAGAGCAAGCGTGGCATTGGAGATGTTATCAATGGCTGTCGAGATAGAATCTCCAGATGCGAAGGCAGAGCCAGCGAGGGCAATCAAGGGGAGAAGGCTGAGACGCATATTGTCTGAGAGCTTGAATCAACGAGTAATCGATTGGTCAATTGAACTGCAAGATCTGCCAAGGAGAAACTCTTCGTGTCTCAGGAGCTACCCCGTCTTTAAATATATCCATTCCAACACTTCACATGCAAGTTTTTTTCTGCTGTGCCTTTCGGAAGGCTGCGATGGTGGCCTCGTGTAATCCCAACCACTTGTCCCCGCATCTATCCTCAAAGAGGAACTCAGCGCCGTGTTGTCGACGACCAACGTCTATGAATCCATATCCCCATAGGGTAATCGCTTGGTAGCTCGCGGGCTTTTTGTTTAAGTGGCTGATCTTAACTTGGCAATCTACGATGTTATGTGGGGAGAATTGTCAGGTTTGCAAGGATTGCGGCATCTTTGGCCGCGGCTGTCACGGGAAAACATGCGATGGAGTTGCATGTGTGCGTATTAGGGCTATGACGAAATCTACATTGAGGGATTATGACGACTAAAGTGACGAAATGGGTTGGTTACATTGGTTGAAGGATCCGTTGAAGCAAGGGTTTTGCAGCGATGTTGCTCGACTCATGCAGCTATGGACACTGGGCCCGATGAAGCAATTGCCCGCGAAATTAAGCATTTGATTAAGCTGGATGTGGTGTTGCATCTAGATGGTGTGCCGCTTGATCATGCGGAAAAGAGAAAGGGTTCTATACTGAGTCGCTTATAGCTTGACAGTCGAGTTATGCTTATTATGCAGGGACTACATCTGACTAGCCCAGCGCATGTGTCTTCCACCTTTCAGCTGACAGTCTTCGGTGTTACCATTAGAAGGTAAAGTCCACCAGCGGTGAAGAAGCTTTCACAAATCATCTTGTGTTTTGGGGGCTGCCGCCTAGATGGAGATAATGAACCCTAGTTGAATAAAGACCAGGAGACATTGATCTCATTGAAAGTTTGTTTAGTCCCAAGACCCTCTGTTCTCTGCTGAGCTGAACAACGCATTGGAAATTAAGCTTTGTTGTTGCATCCATAATAATTCTCTTTTATGCAAGATCGAGATCTTTGGTTGCATCCAAAGGCATAGACTAGGACATGTGACTTCCGTAATTGGAGTATTACCACTCGGTCTTTTCATGCCTACCTACCATCGTCTATGTCAAGCTTTTCCTTGGGGTTTCCGATAACGGATTCTCAAAGTATTCTCTCTCAGAAGACTCAAAAGTTAGTCAGGAGTTGTTAATGACGGAGGAATACACAATAAAGATTCAGAGACGATATTTGCCTTTACTAACCCCATCAACTCACATATCGTACAAGCAACCTGAAAAGCTAAGATGGATAATTATCAGTGAGATTAAAACGGGTACTTATATTACCAACAAGCCACTTCGGTGAGTTTCCGTAATCAATAATGAATTTGCATGTGAGCCAAAGGATCGGCCTACATCTCTTGCTTATGTTGTTGTTGTTGTTGTTGTTGTTGTTGTTGTATTGTTTAACGCCGGTACGTCCCTGTAAGGGCAAAGGAGGCAAAAAATCCAACTTTGTCAAGGTTGGTATTCGAACCCAAGAATCTTTCGATACTACAGAAGTTCCCAGTTATCTAGGTAAGACTGATAGGTCTCGAATGCAGCGCCTTAGACCACTCGGCCACCTTGACTTTTGTTGCATCTATTGCTTATGTTGATGACTAAGGTTGCTATGGCTCATCAAGCAAAAGCTGTTGGTTGGCTAGCTAGACTTGAGTCGGCGGCCGTACACAACGTAAACCAGTAGTATTTCACTGTACAAAGTCGCCTCTTCCAGAGTTTCGAGATTATCTAAGTAAGTTTGAGTGAAGTTCTCATCCGCATTAGCTGGTTAGGTTGCCTTAACTGCAATGTTGTTGGTAGACATTACATGCTTTTCTCTGATCAACACCAAGCTCGATATATATCAGACTTCGAGGCTCTGTAGACGTCCAAGATTGTAGCCCATCGGCGTACACTTCAGCTACAGATATAGAAACAATTGCGAACCACAAAAAATTTCTTTCAGTTGCCAGCATAGGCAGTCAAGGATGAACTAGTCTTTCAACTATATAACTGTTAGCCAGGAGCTGCCATGATAATCATTCAAATCTTGTTGTTGCATCAAAACATCAGTGTTAGAAGCAGAAGAATTTTAGTCTGTTTCGCGCGAGGGGAGCCACCCGGGAGGTAACAGCCAGCTTGAGTATGGGGCCAAAGCAACTACATTGAAAGAACTACCCAAGATGGCTATGCAAAATGAGTCTTGCTTTGGCTTGAGTGAACAGCATCTATAAAAGTTCGTAATATGAAAAGACGTCTTATTTGTTGCATTAGGACAGACATATGATTAGATTGCTTATCGCTGATTAGATGAGTGATAAGATTGGTGATAAGGTTGTCACTGTCGTGTGGTGCGCCACGTGAGCTCACGCAGCGATCAGTGGAGCTATTCGTTGCGAAAAAGAACAAACAATCGTCTCGGGATGATCGATATCGACAGTTAATCTTGAATAAACTACAAAGTCCCAATGGCCGGTATACAGTATGTCATTTTAATCTGCCAGTGAATAACGATCAACATATGCCCCAGAACGAATGCGACGCGTCCAAATGGATCAAGCTACCTAGTTACCCTACAGATGTCAAGGCGCTGACGCGAAGTTGGAGAAATCTTCGTCGATCTGGTAGATTGTGAACCAAAAAATAAATACAGAGCTGAGAGAATATCGATGTGGCACGGTCATTGTCAATGTGAGCTGTTTCATGCTTGTCCTTCCGAGTTTTTTGAGGCGTTGATCAATGGAGCAACCACCATCGATGGGGCCATGGGAACCAGCAACGCTTACCAGCAGTCAAATGCTAACACCAGCCTAATTACATCTGGATATGAGAGGGGCGCATGGGCGTTTATCAATGACTAAATCCTCTCGCAATAGCCGATGCTAATCTTCCACTACTTATCGACGGATGTCGTCTGCGATTCCTTCAATGTAGCCGAGGACGGAGGCCCGCAGCAAAAATGATGATGTTCTCACGGCACTATATCCTGGTCAATAGCCTATTCCTTTAGCTTTACCAAGTCACGCATCGCGCCTTGCTGGCAATTAATATGAACTGGTGGTCATACTCTGCACCAGACTCAATGCCACTAACCACGGCAATTGCACGTCAAAAAATAAGGTCAAACAAATGCTTCAAATGAATGGCAAAGAAACTTTATCGCCAAGCTTTGCGTAGTCTACCGCCAAGGCAAAACGGTGCATTCGCTCATTCTTCAGACCGAGTCGTCAATCGGAGCCCAAGCTCCATTTAATCGGCATCAACTCTGTCCGCTTCGCTTGCGTCGAAGAGATTAAGTTTGTGCACCTCTTCATTTTCCCTTTCTCCATCTAATTCCGGAGTTTCCTTGTCCTTGCTTGTTTATTTGCTGCGAGAAAAAAACCTGATTGTCGCACGATCGGCGGAAAAACTACTGCCCACCAAAAGCAAAGTGGGGAGCTCTGGTTTCAAAATTTCATGTCCCAGATAAGTTATAACAATCGAAGCTGTTGACATGAGAATCACGCAGTTTGTCAATATGGAGCGGTGATTATATATATATCACCTGAATTGCGCAGGATGTAATATAAATAAATCCACTCGCGTGGCCGTTATCTGTACCAAGACTCATATCATGAACCAAAGTCCCAGGGAATGAAACCCCTGTAAAGGAGGGATTACAGGGGAAGTGTTTAGGCCAGTGAACGGTGCAAACACCAAACCAGCGCTTCAAAAATGACGCAACAACTGATTGAGACACTGTGTCCGTGATTAGAGGACAGGCATTGCCCGGCAGCTTGCCTCGTTTGGGGCTAGACACCTCTGTAACCTTAAACCCTTCAAGCTTTTTGGCCTTTTTTATCGAGGCCAAGGGGAAGAGATTGAGTTTTTGAGTTTGAAAGAGCATAAAATGAAGCTTGAGCGTTGTATTTCGAGGCGAAAGTAAGGTCATCTTCCGTTCCTTTAGGATTTTGCTCCATCACATTCCAACAGGCAATAAACATTGCAAACGGGGCGTTGGGAATTTCCACCCGCCAGCCACCCCAGTGTCTAGCGCTCTTAGCTAAGAGATTAAAGCGTCATGGGTCTGATGATTGGGAGAGCTGGAACTGTAAGGTAAGGGGCAGAGAAGTGGAGTGAATCATTGGTGCGATGGCTGCCATATCAGTTTTTCTCAAGACTTGGCGCTTTATTGATGGGTTCTAGACCCCCGCAACCTTAAAAGAAACAACCTTAAAGCAGCTAAAGTCAATATCGCAAGGTAAAGGGGTAGCACCACGCCGTTGCAAAGACTATTGACGATAATTAACCGTAGTGAAATACCGACCAGATGAGCAATTCCCTTTGTTCCCGCATGCAGCACTTCACCTGTTTCCCACTAGCGCTTCTGCCGCTTGTCTCATGCTGATCCTTCTTCACACAGTTCTTCTCCACCAAGGTGACACCCTAACATGGCTTGTTCCAAGCCTTCTGTGGAACCCTGCCAGCTTTTGCTTTGCCGATCAGGGGCACCTGTAGCCAGTAGTCTTACGCGTACTGTTACCTCATATAGTCCTCACAGTAGATCTTCTTTCTTTGCTGTACTGGTTTCAAAGTGATCGTCTCCCTTTCGCGCAGAAACGCAATCGCAGGTCAAGTCCCTCCTTACGCTTGTCTTGAACTTTCTCCATTGTTTATTGTCTCAGTTTATGCTTTTTTGTTCTTGCATTCCCAAACTCTGTCTCTCGCTCCCTTGAACAAAACTCCACCAAAGTCCATTGCCATTTGGATTTCTTCTCATTCAGATGGTTTCATCTTCAACATAACGAATTTTCCTTTTCTTCTTTACGTCACTCGCTCGCCGCGCTAGGCGCCACAATCTCAATCGTTTTATATCAAAAGTCACAATGGGCGCAGCACTCCCGGTTTCTGGTGTTGCGCTTAACCGGGTGCTGGCCCTCGGCTTGACGCTGGTCGTCATTCTGGGCATCGCCATCAACCAACTCCAGCTCGGCGATGATCCTTATCGCTGTAAAGCTCTGCTTAATGATGGAAATTGGTTGAACACTCCTGCAGAGAATGGAAGCAGAGCACCTTTTACGAACTGGCAGCCGCCTGGATGTATGATTCATAAGTACAAGAAGGAGGAGATTGAGGAGTGCATGGAGGGACGACACATGCTTTTTGTTGGTGACTCTACGACTCGCCAAGTCTTTTACGGCATGGCTCGTCTGGTAAGTTGATGGTTGTTTTTATTGTACATGGCATGTCGAATTATTTGGTCCATGTTCATTCAATTGACCCACGGTCGCTAACACCATCCATCGCAGCTGGACGCAGAAAAGGCCGAGCAAGTACGAGCAAAGAGCCAAAAGCACGAGAGCCACGATGTAGAATTCGGCGGTATTCGACTTGTAGAAATCTGGGATCCTTTTGGCAACGACAGCGCTGTCGCCCGCAATGAACTCACCCTCTACCACGAAGAGAAGATCAACGAGGTCCCCATCGAAGAGCAAAAAGGTCCCGCCTTGGCCTTTATGGGCATGGGAGTCTGGTTCGCCGCCCGTTTCGAGAACGAAGAATCTCTTCCCAAGTTCAAGGCCGCTTTCAACAATATTTCCGAAATTGCTTCCAATATGGACTTTGAACCTTTCGGTAGTCGACCCATGGATCCTCGCGATGGAGTCGGCAACGAAATGTTCTGGGCACCAATTGCCCCGCCCTTCTACGACAAGATGCCCGAGTACCGCAAAACTGGTGTCGCCTCGCAACCTGGTGAGGTCGAGGCAATTGATGAGTTCCTCAAGACACAGGAAGAGGAGTCTGGTATTCCCATGTTGTGGTCTTTCCCCGCTTTGTCGTATGGTCAACCGGATGCTATCGGCGACCACGAGAATGGCTTCCATGTCACCGACAGTGTCGCTGAGATGAAGGCTCAAATGCTTCTCAACCTTCGCTGCAACGCCAAACTCGACATTCAAAAGTCTTATCCTTATGATCGCACTTGCTGTACTGATTATGGCCAGAAGTCTTTTGTCCAGGTTATCCTCGTTGCCCTCGGCATTCTCTACGTCGGCGGCGCTGCCATGACCGAGTTCCTTGCTCTTCGATCTGGCGAGGCTCCCAAATGGGCCATCTTCAATCTCGATGTCGCTACCTTCATCACCGGTGTGCTTGCTTGCTACTGGGCCGACCGAACACAGGCCTTCGCCAAGGGCTCAAAGGAGTACAACATGTTTGACTTCAACCTTATGTCTGCTCTCTGCTTTATCGTCGGCTTTGCCTTCATGACCAAGTCGAAGCCTCCGCCTCCCCGACCCGGCGCCCAAGCTGCTGCTGCTGCTGCTGCCCCCGCGACTCTCGACGATGCGAAGCCTTTGTCGCGTGACCAGACCGATGAGTGGAAGGGTTGGATGCAGGCTCTCATTCTTGTCTATCACTGGACTGGTGCCTCGCGCGACCTCAACATCTACGTCGGCATTCGTCTCCTCGTCGCCGCGTATCTCTTCCAGACCGGTTTCGGCCATGGTGTTTTCTTCAGCTCCAAGAAGGATTTCTCCTTCAAGCGTGTCGCCGCCGTTCTTCTCCGTCTCAACCTTCTTAGCTGCGCCTTGCCCTTCTTCATGAACAC